TGTGAATATATTTATTTATAATATAAATATATTTATATATTTAATATAAATATATAAAATTTATATTAAAATATAAATTTTAATATATTTTAAATGGCCTGCCCCTGGCTGGATCTGGGTGATCTTTAAGGTCCCTTCCAACCCCAGCCATTCTGTGATTCCCTGATTATTGTGGAGAAGGATATTACTGAAAACTTCTTTAATATCATGCAATATGTTGTGCAGGCCAAATTTTAGAAGGCATTTTATCTATATCTGCCTGGATCCAGAGGTTTTTAAAATGAACTTTCAATATCTTTTGCTCATTTTGAAAGCTTGGTACACCCATAGTAATGTTTCATTAACACTTCTGTTTCATTATTCATTTAAAGTGAAAAAACCCCAAATCTTTTAAGTAACGTGACCTTAAAATCTGTTTTAATGCTCCTCAAGGGAGGTTCAAAACATCAGTAGCAAAAATGATCCAATCCAAGAAGGAAAAGATGAAGAAAAATAAGAGCTGTAGATAGAACTGAAATACTGAAATTAATTGAGGAGCCAGGGATAAAATGCAATTATGGGGCTGCTGGAGGTGCAAAATCTCCTTTAATGGAATTGTGGATGGTTTGGATTGGAGGGGATTTTAGGGATCATTTCATTCCCAGCCCTGCCATGGCAGGGACACCTCCCACTGTCCCAGGAGCTCCCAATGTCCAGCCTGGCCTTGGGCACTGCCAGGGATCCAGGGGAATCCACAACCTCCCTGGGCAACCTCACTGTAAAATTTCCCTCCTACTTTGGTGTCCTGTTGGATTCCCGGCCTTTCACCAGCTTACTCCACAGCAGGAAAATACCATTTCAACAAAAAAGAAAGAAATCATTAAAAAAAAATCAGTGATGGAAACCTATTTTTGATGTTGTGATTGATGTGAGGTCAGCACCCTCTTCCTGATGGCTCCTTTTTCCCTGAGGGGGTTTTCTTCTCCCAGATAAAAGAATGCACCAGGCCCACGTGCATACTTGTCAAACATTTTATTTGTCATTCACACTAATTATGATATTGAATTTACAGAGGAAACTGTGGTACAAAGAAAGAAAGAAAAGAAAAGGAAAAAAAGGAAGAAAAGTGTTCATTAGAACTACTGCAGCAGTCCAGCTGCTCTGGGTAGTTGTAATGAATTCTCCTGTGGTGCTGGACACAGCCATCCCTGTGGACAGCAAGAATTTACCCTGGGGTGATATCTAGAGATTCCTGGAGTGGGGGGAAAATAATCTGCTTTATTCTCTTTTCCTATCTGCTTCCAAAAATCAGCAGCCAACCCCTGCCCTCCCCAGGAAAAAAAATAATTCCCTGGTAATCAACCCCCACAAAAAAAAAAATCCCCAACCTGATGGGTTCCCCTTCAGGAAAAGTTCAGCGTTGAAAGGGGAAATGTTTTGTAAACATAGCCAGAAAATGCTGAACAAATTCCCTCTGGTGCCACTCTGATGGAGCTGTGTCCCCCCTCAACCTCACCACCTCTCACTGAAATTTTGGTTTTAAAAAGAGCTGGAATTGTCCAACCCAAAATACCACAAATAGCCCACAGATTTTTTTAAATTTTTTTTTTTTTTCTTTTTCACGTTTGTTTCTCCCCTACCACAAAAAAAGTGAAGGATGATGTTGGATAGAGACCATGCTATAACTGTTTACAAAAGTGAATAAAACGTAGTTCCTCTTGAAGCCTAAAAATAACTAATTGGGAAAAGAAATAAGTCTCACTACAGTATTTCAGCAAACACAAAGGTAAGTTCATTAAAAACAGAAAAAAAAAAATAAGAGAAAAATGCAGAGTAATTACAAGCACTAAATATTTTGGCTAGGAAGCTTTGGAAATCTATTTACAGACATAAATACAAGTAACTCTGGGGATGCAACCCTTGAAGGACGAGGAGAAAAACACCGAGTGGTTGGGACTGACCCAGCGAGGTGAACGAAAATCCAACGGGAAAATGGTACAAGGCAGGAAAACAAGGCAGAGTTTTGCTCCGAGGACAGAAAACAGATCCACTCCTCCCTGAATTTCAAACACACCCATGGAAAAGGTCACCCAGGAAGCAGCAGTGAATGTTTCGAGAGCGCAGGAAATTTGGGATATTTTTTGGAGGAGAGGATTTCTCTCCTTCCCAGCGGAGAATTTGGCATCATTCTATAAATCAAACCCTTCTGCATCCTCTTCTCCCTGCATTGAAGCTCCTCTCCAATGCTCTGGAGCAGGAGCTTTTAAATGAGTTTAAATGTTGTTGGAGAGGGAAATATTTGTCCTCAGATCCAGCAAAATTTACATTGAAGACATTTGACGTGCACAAGGAGCTGTGCCTTGTGAAAGGAGCACCCAAGCTGAGAGTGAGAACAGACAGGAGCTGAATTTTGGGAGGGTGAGGTACCTAAAGCACTCTGCTGACTGCAGCTCCAGGGCAGAAGCACGAGAATTCCATTTTTCTGATTCCATCCAGCATCCCGGGATGATAAAATGATATAAATATTTATCTATTATATCCATATAAAAATAGATGCTTATACACTAATTTGGAGATGGGGATGGGGGAAATGTTTTATCCAAGTGTCTTTTTTTCTGCCTGTTAAGTGCTCTTAAAACACAAGAGGAAAGACAGTGAGAGCATTTTCACAGCCTTGAAAAACTCTGCCATCCTTAGCGATGGCTAAAAGACCAAATATTTACAGAAACTGTGATTTCTGATGATTGAATACACTGAAACCCACAGTGATTAAACAGATTAATTGCCAGGGATAATAAACTTGGCTTTTCCTTTCCTTTGCAGTGCTGGACATACCCAGAGAGGTTGAGCTCCAAAATTTGGTTGCTGGCAATAAAAACATGGGAAACACTGGGAAATTCCAGGAAATTGTCATTCACAGGGAAATGTGGTGGTGACCGGTTCTGTATTTCCTCATCCTGTTCACATCAGGGAGAGCCAAATCAAACCTCACCTTTAGGATGAGTGGAGACAAAGGAGAGGCACAGACAGAAGAAATGTTTGATTTAGGGTCTGAGAGTTGCCAGCTCCCTCTTCCTGTGAATCCCCAATATTTTAGCTTCCAGGGTTGGTGAGTTTCAATTCTGAGGGCTAAAAGGGCTGTAGCAGAAAGGAGATTGTGGTGTCCCATGGGCCTGGCAATGTGGTGACCACGTTGAGCTCGCCTTGGTGACCACACTGAGCTCACCTTGGTGACCACACTGAGCTCACCTTGGTGACCACACCAACCTCACTTCTGCCACCGGGCTGAACTCACGGAATCATCAAATCATGGAATGGTTTGGGTTGGAAGGGATCTTAAACTCACCCAGTGCCACCCCTGCCATGGGCAGGGACACCTCCCACTGTCCCAGGGTGCTCCAAACCCTGTCCAACCTGGCCTTGGACACTTCCAGGCTTGTGGAATCCACAGCCTCTCTGGGCACCCTGTGCTGGGATGAATTTTACAGGGATGATTTAATTCCAAATATCCCATCTAAGCCTGCCTCCTTCATCTTGATACCATCCCCTTTGTCCTATCACTCCATGCTTTTGTTAAAATTCCCTCTCCAGGTCACCTGGCCCTTCCTGGCTCCTCCAAGCTCCTCTCCCTGCTGTGTTCCCACTCCCAGCTCTGTGCACTTTGGTGGTCCAGTCACAAGGCAGATGTGGGAGCTGTAATCAATTAGGATTTTAATTGAGAGCTGGAATAAATTAGGGTTTGAATTGCACAGAATGTGCTGAAAGGATTCTACAGCAGAGCTACTGCTCAGAGATGCGGGACTTTTATTTTAGGGTATTGAAGAGGTGAGAGTCCAGCTGAGGAAATGCTACAACCGGGGGGGTCTCTGTATTTCTGTATTCAGCAGGGTCTCCAGACTTTTCAAATATATTTCTGATAGAATCTGGATGTTTTCTGTCTTTTCTTACAGAGCAAACTCTGGAAAATTATAAAGGATATTCCATGAAATGAAAAGCACAAGGCCATGTGTTTTAACAGAAACATTTTGGGCTTTTGCTGAGATCTCTTGAAACACTCCCTATTTTCTGCACAAAAACGACCTTATTGACAATGGAAATTCTTCGATTCTTTTCAATACCAAAGTGCTACTGCATCCAACTCGAACAAAGAAGCAAAATCATATATATATATATCTACAAAAAAAAGAGAAAACTTGAAAAACAAATGGTTTTAAATAAATCCAGCTGTTTTGCTGCCTGCAGCCAAGGATCTTTTTAATTTGAATCCTTTTAACTTTTTTTTTTTTTCTTTTTTTTTTCTTAAAACATCAAACACTGATCTGAAGTCCTGCTTTCAAATACTCTCTGAGTTGACCTGCAATTTTTTTTCCTCTGGTTTGAGAGGTACATTAAATAATAATCAGCTCATTTGGGACTGACACGTGTCAACATCAGCAGTTTGGAGTTAAGGAGTAGTACAAGAGCAAACCCTCAATAAAATAGTGCCAAAAACGTTACAGTGACATCTGATATGTTTGTGCTGGGACGACGGGCGGCGGTGACGGCTCCCTGCTGAACCTGCTCGTAGTAAAAGCCTTGTAGATTTACTACAGGGCACAACATTGGCTACACCAACTTCAAATAATCCCTCCTCTTCTCCCAGAGGATGGAAACGGAAGGATTGTCCAGACCCTGGATTTTCTGGAGCTTTCCAGGTGAGCTTTCCAGCCCCATCCAGGAGCGGATGTGTTTGCCAGCAGGATGGAACGTGGCTTTAGTGCTGCACAGAAATCCTGGGGGAAAATCTCACCCAGATTCCGTCAGAGCCAGGACTTCCCCCTCACCGTGGGAATCGCAGAACCAGGGAATGGTTTGGGTTGGAAGGGATCTTAAAGCTCATCCACCAAAATTGCCACGGGCAGGGACACCTTCCACTATCCCAGGCTGCTCCAGCCTGGCCTTGGACACTTCCAGAGATCCAGGGGTAACCACAGCTGCTCTGGGAATTTTATTACAGGGTTTCCTCACCCTCCCAGGGAACAATTCCTTCTCAGTTCCCATCTATCCCTGCCCTCTGGCAGTGGGAAGCCATTCCCTGTGTCCTGACACTCCAGTGGGCAGGTATTTCGTTAGGGAATATTGAATTAGCCTTAGGAAGTATCTACATCCTGATTCCTGATCCTGAGGGTCACCACTGGTGACAAAATAGGAGGAGGGAGAGATGACTCCACCACTTGTAAAGGTACAGAAATCCCCAGGGATTTTGGTGCCTTCCAGCAGGAATTGGCCACCTCAATGCCTTTGAGGATCTAAACTGAGAAAAATGAGAGTGAGATAATTGTAAACAATATTTTTAGGGAATTAGGAGGTCACTTTTGCCCATCGTTATTCCAGCCTTTTTCAATGTGAGAAATTTGACTTTGGCTGCTACCAAAAAAAGGCAATTGCTGATATTTTTTTTTTTAATATAGGCATATTTAAATAATAATAGTATCAACAAATAAGAAAAGTCTAAATATCAAGCATAAATATCCATGAACTCATCAAAGAAATACAGTAGTTGAAAATGACCCAAGGCTGTAGCCGTTGTGTTAAAAAAAAAAAAAGTCCAAGAGATAAAAAGTTAAATTAACTCATTGAAAAAGGGGCTGATTCTTTCAGTTGACAAAGCAAGAAAGAAGCAAGCATGATTAAAACCAAAAAAAAAAGAAAATTTTTTTTTTTTTTTGCAATTTATAAGGTGCCAAGAGAAATAAAACAAATTAGATGCAAAGCAGGATGAGCTGCATCCTAAAACAAAACAAAACAAAACAAAACACCAAAAAAAATCTAAGCCCAAAACAAAACAAACAAACAAAAAAAACCCCAGTAATAAAAATTTCCGTATTCTTTGGAATATACAAACAAAACAAAGAAAAGAAAGAATGAAGTCCAACATATAAAACCTCTCATTCACAGCATTGCTAAAACAGAAGCGTTCACAGTTTCCCTCTGGGAATCTTCCTATACTTCCTTACACTTAAAATGTCCATAAGATGCAGTAAACTCGCTAAGATTTATTTTTGTTTTTTGGGGTTTTTTTGGTTTTTTTTTAAGGTTTTAAGTCTTAAAAATAGAAGCGAACCGAAACTCTCTTTTAGGGCTGTGGAGACCTTCAAGCCCAGGCACGTTGGGAAGCCACAGGCCTGGAATCAGGTTGGATACCCTTCTACCCACCCTCGCTACCTCTGCACCACCAACTGGAGCATCCTCCTTTCCAGAAGCTCGTTCTCCTGCCGGGAATACTTTGCCGGAGCGACTCGGCTCCACCAGGGCCTGGCGGCGAGAGCCTCCGCTCCTGGGAGCGCTGACTTCGGAAGGGTTTGCTCCTGAAACTCGTGGATGATCGCAGCAGGGCCCACAAGGAAGTTTCTGGGATCCCGCTGGGAAATGGGAAGTCCTTTAGTCCTGACTCCTTGAGCTCCTTCCGATCTCCTCAGTACGGCCTCCACACGGCCTCCTCCAGCCTGGCCGTGCTGGCCATGTTGGTGGGCGAGTTGCTGTGGCTCCCTTCGGCCTCCACCACGTCGCTCTGGTTGGGCAGGTTGGGGTTGAGCAGCGTGGAGCCCGTGGAGGCGTTGGTGCAGGGCGGGTGGATGCGCGGCGGCGAGCGATCCCCGCCGGAGATCATGGAGAACTGGTAGGAGCCGGCCGAGGTGCCGTAGTAGAGGTGGTAGGAAGGGGAGCTGGTCTGGAAGGGGCTGCCCTGAGCCTGGGAGGAGCCGGGGTAGGGCGGCGGGAGGTACGTGTGGTATCTGCTGGCCGTGGACATGGCCGACATGCCGATGCCGATGCCGGAGCTGACGGGGGTGGGTGTGTAGGTGAAGGCTCCCGGGTAGTGCATGCGAGGGTCGGAGATGGACGGCAGCGCCGGGAAGGAGCGGTCGATTCCCACCCGGGGGTCGCTGAACGCCGTCAGGTCGGACGCTCCTGGGAGGTGGGGAAGGGAAGGGAGGCAGAGGAATGTTAGGGGATCCTGGAATTGATTGGGTCAGGAAGAACTTCTGGGATCATCGAGGCCAAGCTGTGCCCAATGCCCACCTTGTCACCTGGAGTGCCACGTCCAGCCCTTCCTTGGGCACCTCCAGGGATGGGCACTGCAAAGCTCCCTGGGCAGCCCCTGCCAAGGCCTGAGCTCCCTTTCCATGGGCAAATTCCTGCTGCTGTCCACCCTGAGCCTCCCCTGGCCCAGCCTGAGGCCGTTCCCTCTCCTCCTGTCCCTGTTCCCTGGCAGCAGAGCCCGACCCCCCCGGCTGTCCCCTCCTGCCAGGGACTTGTGCAGAGCCACAAGGGCCCCCTGAGCCTCCTTTGCTCCAGGCTGAGCCCCTTTCCCAGCTCCCTCAGCCCCTCCTGGGGCTCCAGCCCCTTCCCAGATCATTACAGAATCCCAGGATCCCTGGTGCTGGAAAAGCCCTCCCAGCCCATGGAGTCCCAGCTGTGCCCGATGCCCACCTTGTCCCCAGCCCAGAGCCCTGAGTGCCACGTCCAGCCCTTCCTTGGGCACCTCCAGGGATGGGCACTGCAAAGCTCCCTGGGCAGCCCCTGCCAAGGCCTGAGCTCCCTTTCCATGGGCAAATTCCTGCTGCTGTCCACCCTGAGCCTCCCCTGGCACAGCCCATGACCTCTCACTCTGAAATGTTCCACAGGAGAATCAAATCCTGCTCTGCTTTATCCATGGAATTACGTTTGGTCCCATCCTCTCTTTCCCTGCCCTGATTAAACAAGCGGAGCAGATCGACTTTAGGAAGGATCCTCATCGTGACTCAGGTTAATGGAAGGTCTCATCCCCAGAGCTGGCAGCTCTGCCTGCTTAAGACAACAATAATAATTACGGAAAATAAAAATCTTTCCAGAAGAAAGACAACTTCTCCTGGCAGCCAAGGCGTGGAGTCTGCAGCAGAGGAGCCGTGTGCTGAAGGAAATACTCCTGAGGAGGAGCAGAGGGAAAACAAAGCTCTTGGCTCTCCCCAGATTCCAGCTGGAGCAGACCCAGTCTGGGATTCTTGGAGCAGACTCACTCCAGAGCCAAGCTCTGAAAGCTCATCAGGACCCACCAGCCCACCTTGACGAGCTTCTCTTAATTTCTTCGAAGAGCTCTGAACTTGCTGTTTGCTTCCTTTAGGATTTGCCATCCAGTTTTTTTCAGGAAAGCTAACGGGAAAACATTTCATTCCCCTGAACCCCGTCACCTTTAGGTTTGACATGGGGAAACACGGTGGAGTGGAGCAGCAGGAGCTTTGGAGGAGCCATGGTTAAGGTGTCAGATTTTAAATGTTACTTCCACACCTCATTCCTGAGGAAGTTCCTAAAACTGCCTGGATACCTCGTTAATCAGAGGAGGGTTCATCCTGCCCTGGCAAAAAGCAGAGTAATGATATTTAATGTCATGATGGCTCAAATATATCCCGTGTTGTTGTTTTTCCCTTAGGTCTTTAGTTGGCAGGGCCTAAAATCCTCCTGAAATTTGCTCTTTGTTCTGCCAAAGAGTGAATTTTTAGAGACCCCAGGTGTGGGTGACAGGAAAGGTTGTGACACATTTTCCCAGGAATGCTGAATGACATTTAATATAAGGAATTGGAACAGGGAAAAGAAGGATGCTGATGTGAATAAAAACCTTTCTAGGTTCCTTCACAAGGCATGGAGAAACTCTGCCAGCTCCAAGAAAAATCCCTGTGGCCATGGGTGGAAAAAGAAGGAGAAGGACCTGGGGGTCCTGGTGGAAAACAAAGGGGCATTCTAATTTCTTTAAAAAAATTTTAATTTCTAATTCTGTGTAAATAAAGAATGAGAATTTTTACGAGACTTCTTTAAAAAAGAAGAAATGCCATTTTCTGAAAAGTCCCGTGTGTTTTCAGCCCTCTCTACAGTGCAATTATCACCCAGACCTAACAAATAATTCAGATTTGGTGCGAGGCTTTCAAAGCAAGCTCTACAAGACAACAACAAAACAGGCTGGAGCATGTTCAAGTGGTTCCCTCTGATCTTAGAAGAAACCCTGAGCCTTCAAATGAGAGCAAGATGTGGAGTTAAAGGAGGGATTTTTTGCAAAAGCTGTATGCAAATTAGAATGATATGGCTCTCGCTCATTTACAGAAAATTCCTGCTGCTGCGCACCCAGATTGGTTCAAGATGTGCAGGTCAGGGACAGTTAAACGTGGTGGAATCGGGGTGGTTTTCACTTCCTTTTTTCTTGTGGCTTCTAAAGCTCTGCAGGATGATTTGATGGATGTGGAAAACAAGAAAATCCAGTGCAACATTTAAAATGCCCAACACCACCATCCTGCAGCCAATGGTCCACCCAAAAGCTGCTGGGCTCTGGATGTAGAGGGAGGGAAGGAAACAGAGCTGGAATATCTGTGCCATCCATTTCTTGGCAATCTGATAATTGCTAATTGAGAACTGATAATTCTCAGCAATCTCAATCATTCTCACAGCTTCCAAGTGCTGCTTTTCCTCGTTTTTCTTCCTTTTTGACAATGCTGGGCTCCCAGCTCCAGGAGCAACCTGGGAAGTGTCCCTGCCCCTGGCAGGGGGTGGGAATGAGATGAACTTTAAGGTCCCTCCCCCACCCCAGACCAGTTTGGGATTCAGGGTGGACAGCAGCAGGAATTTCCCCATGGAAAAGGAGCTCAAGCCTTGGAAAGAACTGCCCAGGGAGCTTTGCAGTGCCCATCCCTGGAGGTGTCACCTGGACGTGGCACTCAGGGCTCTGGGCATGGGGCACAGCTGGGAATCGATGACCTTTGGGATCTTTCCCAACCTCAGTAACGCTGTGATTCGTTTATCAAAACGCAGCTCATTTCCTAAAATTCTCTGTTTCTCTGCTCTTCCCACAAATCCCCCAAAACCTCGGAACGAGCTTTGCCCAGAGAGCCCCTGAAGGGCTGGGGCAGCACCTGGGCCAGCAGTTTGTCACCAAGGCAGTGTCCCTTTGTCATGGAGGGCCCAGGGATGGGGATAGGGCCACCGGTTTGTCACTGGGAAAGTGTCACTTTGGTGTGAGGGTAGCTGGGGTGGGGACAGGGCCACCAGTTTGTCACCAAGGAAGGGTCCCTTGGCTTGGGGGTAGCAAGAGTGGGGACAGGAGCACCAGTGTGTCACCAGGGAAGCATCCCCTTGTCATGGAGGAGCCGGGGTTGGGGACAGGGCCAGCAGTGTGGTGTCCCTTTGTCATGGAGGGCTCAGGGTGGGGACAGGGCCAGCAGTGTGGTGTCCCTGTGCCATGGAGGAGCCAGGGTTGGGGACAGGGCCAGCAGTGTGGTGTCCCTGTGCCATGGAGGGCCCAGGGGTGCTGTCCTTACCCGAGAGGCGGCTGGAGAGCTCAGCCGTGAGCGAGCTCATGCCGCCGGCCCGGCCAGGTGAGATGGGCGTAGCGGGGTGCACGGCGGGCGCGGCGATGGAGCCCAGGTACTGGTAGGACTGGTCGTAGGACCAGGGTGGGGAGGGCTGCACCTGCCGGGTGTCTGCAGACACAAACACAAAAACAAACACAATCACAAACAAACACGAACAAAAAACCACAAACACAAACACAAACACAATCAATGTGGGCTGCTCTGCAGGGATAAACTCGACAAGCCACCCTGGAACAGAGGCTGGAAGTGCCCTGGTAATGAAATTCCAGTTCTGTAAATGCCCCTTGTCAGGAGAGCTTCAAGTGAGTTGCTTTCTATAACATTACGTTATTTTATTTTATTTTATTTTATTTTATTTTATTTTATTTTTTATTTTTTATTTTATTTTTTATTTTATTTTATTTTTTGTTTTACTTTATTTTTTATTTTATTTTATTTTATATTTTATTTTTATTTTATTTTATACTTTATTTTATATTTTATTAGATTTTATTATTATGTTATTTTTTATTTTATTTTATTTTTTATTTTTATCTTATTTTATTTTATTTCATTTTATTTTGTTATTTATTTTATTTTATTTTATTTTATTTTATTTTATTTTTTTTATTTTTTATTTTATACTTTATTTTATATTTTATTGTATTTTATTTTTATTTTATTTTATAATTTATTTTATATTTCATTATATTTTATTTTATTTTATGTTGTTTTTTATTTATGTTATTTATTTATTTCATGTTATTTTATTTATATATATGATTTTATTTATTTTATGTTATTCTATTTGATGTTATTTATTTTATTTTATTATTTTATTTTATGTTGTTATTTATTTATTTATGTTATTTATTTATTTCATGTTATTTTATTTATAT